ATAAATTTGATGATTCAAAACACATTGGAGCATATTGCAACTACTGTTCTACAAATAGTTGATTTTTATGGGCTCATTGATAAAGTTTTAACTATCACATTAGATAATGCTTCTGCTAGCACAACTGCAACAAATAGTTTAAGCACTAGACTTTGTCCAATTAATCCAATAATTTTCCATATTAGATGTGCATGCCATATTTTTAACTTGGTTGTAAAAGATGGTATTAATTTATTTTCTAAGACTTGTAGTAAAGTACAACATGTTTGCGGCTATATTTTTCGTGCTAATAAAGCGAGTAGGCTTCGTGAGTTTGCACAACAATGTGCAGGTTCTAACCTTCCATATAGAAAATTTTCAAAAGATGTTTGCACTAAGTGGAATTCTACTTATGAAATACTTAAAGTTATTTATAATTATCGGGTGCCTATATAAAAGGTATTTAATATGCATAACGGTATCCTCGCTGATCAAATTGTTGATTCTGATTGGGATGAGATCAAAGAGCTTACCAAAATTTTTAGAAAAATTTTATTATGATACAAATAATTTTTTAGTATATATTATCCTACTGTTACACAAATATTATGTTATATTTGTAGAATTTCTATTATTTTTGGTAAGTTAAACAAATCCAACTTATGCACCGGCCATTAATGAAATGATTGTAACATTTAAAAAGTATTTTTTCCTTATTCCCCAAGTTTATTTAATTTTTACTCTACTTAACTCATCTTTAAAACTAAGAGGTGCAAAGACACTTGTTCGTAAATTTATGAGAATTTAGAAATTCAAGAAAATGAACAGCCATCTCTCGAAGACTGCCAAGCTAACATATATTCGTATGCTAGATCAATATTTGATAGTTATAAATCTATGGGAACAACAAAAGGTGAAAATGCTCCTACTACTTCTAAGGTTAGAGTAGACGTTCTATGGGAAGGTATGGAGGATATAACAGGTTTTGACTCCTCTATTGATGATAAACTTGATTCTTATCTTAATCAGGGATTGGAATGTATTAAAGATGAAGAAGGCAATGAACAGCTTTTGGCATGGTAGAGGGAGCGCGGCAAGGCATTTCCAGCACTTTCAATAATGGCCCGAGATATACTAACTATTCAAGCATCATCAGTGGCATCTAAAGTGCTTGTAGAGCGGCAAGATTTTAAATCGGAGATCATAAACATTCATTAGCGGAAGACAGTCTAGAAATTTTCGTCTTATTCAGAGATTGGATTAATTTATAAAGAAGAAATCTTGGTTTTGAAAAATTAACCACTAGGGAAGAAGAAGAATACAGTGAGATACTTAGCACTGGAAGCGATGACGACATGGAACTCATGCAACATCAATCAACATTGTCAATTCCAGAACTACTTCTAAGAGAAATTATGGATAAGTTACAACGAAGCTATATAGGAGTTTACAAATATTAGTATGATAATTTGTAATTGGCTACTAAAAAGCTTAGTTCAAACGCAACCCTTTCTAGAATGTGGCTGTGTAGATTAGGTGCTCTTCAAAAGATTTGTATTTGTATTTGAAATTTGAAAGTTCTATTAATAAAATAAAAGGCTTTCAGCCTTGAATTTTTTTTTTATGAATTATCTTACACTCTTATTTGGTTACTTTATAACTTGAAATTATATTAAATAAATTACAAGTCTATTATAATTACTAAAATATTTCGTTACAAGTCTTTTTTTTTAATATTTTATAATGTTTTACTTAGTTTCTTTAAAATTTATTAAGTTTTAAGTTTAGTAAATAAGTCAAAAAACTAGCCGTTGCAAACTTAAAAAACTTAGTCATTGTCAGTTTTAAAAAAATAAATGTTGTTTTCTATAAAAAAATTAGCCGTTGCCAAATTTAAAGCTTAAATAATTAAAAAAAATAAAATAAAAAGGTTCACTTAAAGCCCACGAACCGTCTTGTCCCATTCCGTTTGTTAGTGGGGTGGAATGGGCCTACCAGGGTCGTCCTGTTTATCCCGTCTCTTTAAGGCCCGTCCCGCCACCGTCCGGTTAAATTCCGTCCTGTCACGTCCCGATCCGTCCCGTAGGACAGCCTTAGTACGAGCGAAATGTTATTAGTTCAATAAACCGGTTGTCAACTCTCCATATACAGTTGGCTTTCAGTTTTGACTCATTTATAACAGATCCAATTGATTCCTGAAAAAGTCTCCATCTATACCAACCATTTAATGTATACTCCTTCCTCC